CAAAACATAACACTATACCAGCTACTAAAAAGAGAATTAACTCTATCCCAGCTGAAACCAGGACAACTGCTTTCTCAAATCTTCTGGTTACAGAATCAGACTGAATTTCAACACTTGATCCTCCACCCAGATCAGTTCTCTACTGGAATTCTAAAAGCACTATGAACAGAGACCCATTTAGCCCATCAGCTGGATTGCAACTGAACAGCCCTGGATACTTCACAAAGAACCTAAAAAAGCTTAAATTGCTGCAGTTACAGAATAACCAAACCAGTGGCAAATTACTTCCCAAATCCTGGCAGACAGGAAAACTGCAAGAAGAATGAACTTAAAGGCTACCTGAATAGAAGACATGGAGCAAACCAAGCGGAGTCTGTCACAATCTCTCTCACTCTCCATCACTTGCTGAGGGAGGAGCTGGAGTAAGCTTAGCCCCAACAGCACACATGAAAAGAGCTGCGGTATTTCATGTTCATGATACCACCACCAGCACCACCTGGAACTTTGCATGCAGCAAGACTTGCTTGTGCACTGCACATGCTTCTCCCGGGACAGTGGGACTAGCAGAAAGCATCCTCCCAGGTAGCAGCAATGGTATTTAGTACTTACCAGACTTCAGTTTTTGTTTTGCAGGTGGCTTTTCATCGTCTGAGCTGTCAGATGAGTCCTCACTACTGGAACTTTCCTTGGCACGTTTGTTCTTCCCTGGACATGCTTGAGTGGCTGCAGGTTTCGGCAAAGGTGTTTTTTTGGGAACAGCCTTATCACAAGAAGAAATACACATTAGAAAAGTTACAGAAATCTTGTGGGGACAGCTGGATGTGGATCTTGTTTAACTCTATGCCTCACTTAAAGAGCAAATTTTGAAGACAAAAGAAGAAAGATTAATGAAGATTCTCAAATGCAAATTTTAGGAAACAGACAAGCATCATCTTTCTGGCTGCTCTGCTGTTGTTTTCTGCTGCATGAATACCGAATGAGGAGCTCCTCAGAGTACGGGGCACAGAACTGACTGAAATGGTAGCAACTGCCACTTGATCAAACACAATTATGATTATTCTTGTGTTGCATAAAACATTTTTAAACACTCTCTAGTGGAAAACTCAGTCATGCAAAAGTGAACATATAATGGAGACTACAGTATGGTTATGACACAATGAGATGTTTTCCTGTAGAAGGAAGGAGCAGAGGAAGCGGTAAGGAGGTATTACGGAAGAAAGCTAGTGCATAGAGAGGTGCTAGAACACATAATCCCACTGTGTAAAGGAGAAGGAGGTGTAAGAGCCACAAATGCCATGCTCAGCATCTGTATAGTCTGTGTCTTTGTCTACATGTTTCACAGTCCCTGCAAGACAGAGATACCCACAGTCTTACAGTCTTCTACAGCATTCATTAAATTTTTCATGGTCTAATTTACCTTCTTCGGTGCAGCCTTTTCCTCATCAGAATCTTCACTACTGCTGCTACTGCTTGCTGCTTTTCCATTGACCACCTTAGTGGCTGCCCGGGCAGGTTTACTTCCTTTTGAGATAAGTAAAAAGGGACATTAGAAAATATGCTATGGTAGATGAGGGGTAATTACATTCAACATAAAGTATCATAGAGAAAAGAACCACAGGAAGCCAATAGGACAGATTAAGGCAGTACTGCAGAACTGAGGCTTTATCCTACTGCAAGCTTAGAGAAAGTTTTCAGAAAACTGTCCATTCTAGCTCATCAGAAGTTCCAGGACTAAAGGCTAAGATCTTCCATGCTCTTTGAGGGGAAGACACTGGCAAAAGCACAACTTAAGCAGTTAAGGTTGCTGATTACAGCTACTTATGCAAAAAATGCAGCATTCGGGACCTGATCTTTTATTTGCAATCAGTCCTACACCTCTTCCATGTCGGAAGCAGACTGGACTGCAAATAGCAGTTACAGCAGATTTGCAGACTACTATGTTAATACATATGCCTTTGCATGTAGGTACAGCCTCCATCACTCCTTCCCCAGCTTTTCTGGTTTTACACTTTAACTCATGATACACAATAAGAAGTACCTGGTTTAGGTGTTGCTGGTTTTGGTGGCTGCTTCTTTGGTGCTTCTTCATCTGAGCTGCTTGACTCAGAGCTGGAACTCTCTGCTTTCTTCTGAGACTGGATTTTGGTTCCAGCTGGCTTCACCATGGGTTTTGCACCTTTCTAAACAACAGGAAGAAAAACTGATTAGCCCCTGTAGCCATAAAAAGAAAAAGAGGCTAACATGTGGGACACATGTACAGAGAGTATAAACAGTTGTCTTTCACAGAGGTTACCATTTTGACTTGGAAACACCATGCTGCGTAATGGTTAGGACCTGAAAGTCCCTGGATAACAATTTTGCTCTGGGAAACCTCCCAGCAGCCCATGGGAAACTTCCTTTGCACCTCAGTCTCCAATTCTGCCTCCTCAAAATGGGGCAGCTCTGGGCCTGGCACTGTTCTCTTCCTTCTCTAGATCACACTAGTTTGAAGACTGAAAATACTGACTGGGCAACTCTGGTTTGTCTTCTCCAGTGTACAGTGACATCATTCTTCCTCCCCCCCACTTCTCAAGACCATGACTGCAGCAAGAAACAGGAAAGAGAAGATTCTCTTTTTATAGATACACATATATGTAGAAAAAGATAAAATTTGATTTTACCAATTGTAAATAAATTTTTCTCTGCAAAAAAAGGAAGCCCTGGCAGTCTTAGGACAAAAGCAAGGAGCATGCTTGAATATGAAACAAAGTGAGTGCTGGTCACAAAACCAACATTACATTGCACCTGCAGCAGTCTAGGCACTTCATAGTTCAGGAAAAGCAAGCCAAATTTCAGAGAGAGTTCTATTGGTCAAATTCACTATTTGACTTCAAACTATTGCTATTTTGACTTTCAAACATGTATTAAAGAGGCTGGAAAGAAAAGATGACCTTTACTGGCTTCCTCTCCTCCTCTGAGTCTGAATCATCACTGGAGTCCTCGCTGCTGCTCTGTGCCTTCCTGGCTGGAGGAACTGCTTTTGCCTTGGGCACAGCTGCTGCTTTAGCTGCAAATAAGGGACAGCACACATTGATAGTAAGTTAATTCACAACGTTCATGTACCTGTATCCTGCACTAGTGTGTATCAGGGCAAAAGGATATACTAAGGTCATCCAACCATGACTGAAGTTCGTAATATTGACTTTGTTTCTTGAACAGTGTGTGGCAGAAGACTCCAAACCTGGTAGGCAAGAGGATAAAACCAATTCTAAATTTTTTATCTGTCACGTACACATTCAAGTGCAGACTTCTATCACCAAAAAGGACACCCCACAGGGAAAGTGTCCCCACAAACTGAGATAGTATTAACTGGGTCTGCACACCCTTCAGCTTAAAAAAACCCACTTAACAAGTGCAGACTTCCAAAGAGAACCACTGCAATGCTGTGTTAAAGTTCCAGACACTTTGCTTAACATGTTTTAGCCAAATCTACTCCTTCCTGGTTACCGATTGCTTTTTAGTAACATGGAGCAAAAGAAATCATTTTGCCTCAAGTTATATTTGCAACTGTCCTTACCAAATATAAATCAGATCCAAGTTCAAATTCAGCTTTAGGATGGCTCAAGTTGAAGACCAGTTGTCTTTCTGTGTGTCCCCCTCTCCCTGCCTACTCCTCCTCTCCTGCAAATCTACTGCTAGATACACACAAACTTGCATGCACTGTGATTAAGGTAAGACATAAGAACACTTCCACATAAAAAGGGAAAAACACAGCTCACCACATACCAAAGTGCAGTGGAGGGATGTATTTTTTGATAGCACTAGGACACAGGCTTGAGAGAAAGGAGGGTAGTAAGCTCACACAAGCAGCAGGTGAGTAAGGATGCTTGGCATTTCTCTGGAACTTGAGGATTCAGCACACAACTGCCCTGCATCAAACAGGTCATGGTGCCCACCAATACAGAGGAGCCTGATAAATCCTAGCCAAGCAGGAGCTTTGTCACATTATACATATTTTAACAAATGTGAAAGCACTTATAAAACCTGAATCAGTTTTCCTACAATAGCAAGATGAGAAACCATTCTTTAAGGCTCTCGGTGAAACTGAGCATCCCTGGAAAATAGCACGAAAGAAAACCCATGAGGTAGCTACCTCCCATGGAGAGAGTAACAGTCCAATCAACATGCACTCAAAACCCCATTTCACTCAATATTTAAATCCACAAATAATTTGAATGTGCTGAAGCAAGCAGGAGTAACCCTGCCGAGATATCCTATCAGTAAGCGTTCAAAAAGCAGACTCTCGATATAGACAAGACAATAAAGGTGCTACTTCAATAGCACCTTCAAAACTCAATACAGCCCAATGGCTTCACCAGTCTCAGCCAAGAGACAAACTGAATGGCTAAAACCTTCTAGCAGACACAAACCCTGATGTGCTTAAATTATAACTGGATAAAGAGATCACCCTCAACTAGGATGAAGATACCTTACATGTCATGGGCGAAAGACCTGCCAGAAACAAGATCAGCCAATATAAACCCTGTCCTTGATAGCTGCTGAAGGACCTCAAATGAGCCGCTGAAGCTGAGCTCTATATCCAGGTGAGGAGCCAAAACCAAACACAACCCTGGCCTGGCCTGCCCTAGGGCCGCTCACAAACCCCACCTGGCTTCTTGGCCGGCGGCGTCTCGTCCTCCTCGCTGGAGCTGTCATCGCTGCTGGAGGACGGCTTCCTCTTCGCCTGGGGGCCGTTGGGAACGAGCTTTCTCTTCTTGGCCGCTGGAGACCTACAGGAAGGTAGGTTGAGCTGGGGACTACGAGGCGAGGGCCGGACGGCGGCTGGTGCCGGAGGGTGCCCGGCAGCGCGGCGGAGCCGCCCCCCCCGCCCCGCCCCGCTCCCGGTAAGCGCGGCCCCCGCTGCCGGAGGGGTACTTACTTCAGCCAGTAACTGAAGATGTCCAGGAGGGAGGCTGCGTTGGGGTCCTGCTCCTTCTAAACCAAGAGACGGGCCGCGTCAGTGAGTCAGTCAGTCAGTCACTCAGCCGCCCGCCCCGCCCCCCCGTCCCGCTCAC